GGAAAAGCAGTACTTCTGATATTTGAGGTGTTGCTAGCTGCCTTAAGTTTTTCAGTTCACATCCAAGAGATAGATTTCAATACTGCAGACAGGAAAGAGCTGCTGGCTGGGCTTCTCTGTGGAGTCCTTTCACACTGGAACATTTCCCTGTCCTCGGGTTGTCAGACCTCATCTGGCAGAACCTCTGCCAATCTGGAGATGCTTTGCAGGAGGTTTTCCCTTGCATTCAGGCAGGAGCTTGCCTGCAGTCTTGGTGTGTATAGTATCTACAGACTTGATCTGTTGTTACTCTCATTTGCATATGAATTTGTGGGCAATGTTATAGAAGAGCTGCTGAGTATTTCAGCAGTGTTAACAGATTTGTAGGGCTCAGTTGGTGAATGACTATTGATTAATTTATTAGTTGGTTTTAATAATTTAAAGCATGTACATCCAAGCAGGCTGGGCAACATGCAATCTGAGTGTGCTTTGGAGACACAATTCATATGACCGATGCTGGTGTCCCTTTTTGCTTGCATCACAAATATTGGAGTCAAAAACTTACTGCTGGGAAACTTGGAAATACAGATTTGAGAGGTGGTGTTACAGAGTACTCATAACAGGCAAGCTTGGTGTTTGTAAATGTAACCATTTGCTTTGGGAAATCTGATTCCAGTTGTAATTCAATATGTGTTTCAGTCTTATAGATAGGAGAGAGGCAATCCAATTGGCCGATAACAGTATACCGTGTGATGTATGAACCCGTCTGAAACAATTGGAATTTAAATACCCACAGCAACTGCTCATGGACTGATAAAGAATTATTTTTGACTGCACTCAACAAACAATTTTGAATTATGAATGTAGAACCACTTGAATCTGCTCACGAACAGGAAGGCTTAAATTGAACTGAATGCATTATTTAATACAAGGAACTCGCACAACATTTGTACACATTGGTGTATTTTAAGCAGGGTGTCTTGCATCTTTTGTAGCAATATGTGGAGCTGTTCATTAACAAACAGCACATAGTAATCGGGACTCTAAATTTAAAGCTCATCTTGAACTAGAGGAAGCAGTATAGCAAATTTGAATTTCTATGTGAGCTGGGGCAACTTCAGAAGTCTTGAAATAAATGCACGAGGAACAAGTGTTTCTATAAACTCTGTAGTTCCTGGAGACAACAGCCTGAGCAGTTTTGAAATCTGTGTCAGTGAAACAGGAATTTCTTGTTTACTGCTGCGAACGAAATTCACTGATATTAAAAGAAACGTGCACATCTGAAACACTCAAATGCTTTTATCTAAATTAAAAAAGGCAACTTCTGAGACTTGTGTTTTCTCTCTTTTCCTATGCTAGTTCCTTTTGTACGTTATTTTTGAAAATTTATATTAGTATTGGTCAATGACCTCCTCAATGGACACGTTTAGTTACCAGATGTAAACATGCTGCAAATAGCTCATGCTGAGCAGTTCTGCTAATGCCTCCCAACCTTGAAAATAAGACTTAAGTGGAGGCTGTCAAGAGGTGCCTGCCAAATAGCTACAGGCTGCAATCTACTGAGTGCCTCTTGTATGAGTACCTTGAGCTTACTCGGAGTTCATTTTTCCTCTCAGCATCATGCTTTTATATGGAAGACTTGAGACAAAGGTATTATAAATCTCTAGCTTTTTTCCACTCTCTTTTTCACTCTGGGTTTTTGAGTCTTTTTTTGGTTGCTTGTTTTTTTGGTGTGTTTTTCTGTGGGTTTTTGTTGGTGGTGGTGGTTTTTTTTTTTTTTTTTTTTACAATTTTAGCCAATGTCAAGGGAATATCAGAGAAACTAATGCTGAACATACTGTCTCTGGAGATGTGAAAGTGAAACCTGTCCTGTACCAAGGGAACCTCACTGCAAAATGGCAGTTCAAGGATCAATGAAGTCTTTTCATCAGCTAAGCATTTTAGAGGCAGACTCCTGTAGGAGTCTGGGCTGAAGGAGTAGGGACTCTTTTATATGAGAAGGACTCATGTTTCAGAAAATCTTCAAGGTTAGAAGATCTTTTCTGATGCTGTTGAATTGTAGCTGGTTTAGAGTATTATTGTGCCCCTCTCAGTAGGAAGCTAGCTCTGTATCTGTCTGTTTTCCCTAACTTACCTCCCAGCAAAAGTAAAGAACGTGGGTTGAATGTTGCAGTGCAGACGTGAGACTGCTACAGTGCTGCACCAGCAATCACGCAGAAGCACGTGCACTGCATGCAGGCTACTACTTTGAGCAACCTTTTTGGCACAAAGTGAGAATTACCTGATTTCCTCTACCTTCGGTGAGGGATGTCAGAAGGCCTATAATGAATTTTATAGTAACCTGAAAATTACTTATTGAAAATGTTTGTTCAGAAATAGTCATTCAAATGCAGTCTGCTGTCAGTCACAGCTTTTGCTGTGTTACTTGTTTGACTGTAATCAACCCTTCATGTTTTTTTCAGGCTGAGACAGAGATGGATTTGTACCACGTATCATTGTCACGTTTTGTTAAAACAATCCTGTCATTAAGAGCACGGATTTCTTCATTAGTTGTACAGGAATATCCTGTAACTTCAGAGAACTACAGGAATGATGAGGGTGTTTTTTGACAAAAAACCCTACCCCACCAAAGTATAGTGAGATTATCAATGGATTACTTGTCCAGAAGGTCATATCCTGAAACACTTTCACTAATTAAAGACACAGATGTGAGGAAACCACCATTGCTTCCTCAATATTTGTCAACCAAGGATCATAAAAGTTATGAGGATGGTGTTTCGTACACTTACGATGCTGTATTTTTATGTACAGCTTTTTAACATTTATACTCTAAGTTTGAAAACAATAAATTAATCTCACTACAGCCATAGTGTTCAAACTTACATTCTTGTATTGATGTTTATCAACACTGGTTTTGCAACAGCCATAGTCAGAAAAGACAGTTTATTTAACAACGATACATTTTCTGTATGTATGCTCCTCAAAAGTTGTGTATGAGCAGACAGGACTTTACAGCGTGTGTTTATAATATATCATCATCAGGTTAATATGCTTAGGTTCATTTTTTTTGTGCGTGCGGCTATCCTGAATCTTCTCAGCAGAGTTGTTAAATGCCTGTGAAGACTTTAAGTTCTTAAACCAGAGTATTTCAGGGGGAAAAAATAGGAAAAAAAATTAATAGGTATTGCATGACACTTGCTCAATTACTATACACTTTTTTTTTCTAAAGGAAAAGTGAGAGTAGAACTATGGCGCGATGGAAAATAGAGCTGTTTTTTTCAGAAATTCAGACTGTTGAAAAGCATGAACTGACATTTGAAAGGAAAGCCATTAATGCAGAGAGCTCTTTGCTTCCATAGATTTAAGATCAGGCCTTGGACAAGAAAAGTGTGAGTCTGGAATTGTGATACATTTCTGTCAGAGTACAATACTTTATGACCAGGTTCTTCAGTTATTCTACATGTGGAGGGTTTAATGTTAAATACCAGATTTACTTATTTGAGGACATTTCACCTTATGCAGGATTTTGATTTAGCAGAGTGATACAGCAATGCACTGAAATCACAATACAAATACAAATTACACTTAGCGAATATAGCAGTTGACTATACACATGAATCACAATACAGACATGATTCTTGTTACTAGTCTCCTATGATATGCTTGCAACCACAATGCTGGGCATCCCCAGTTGCTGGGAAGGAATGCGGGCTAAAGCCAGCTCAAGTCTTTCTCTCTTCAAGCTTCTCTTTGTTAATCGCTCAGCTTTGGTACTGTGTTGGATTGAGGCAGCTATACCTTCCCCTGGGCTGCTCTGGCTAACTTGGGAAGACGTTCACACTCTTTTCCTTAAGTTTTGATTAACTGTTTGAGAACAAACATTCACACAACCAGATGATCCACACAAGTGATATATAGCTTTTTATCTAAAACAAAGGCTGCCCTCGAGTCCCTTTTGTATTAAGTTCAGCTTTCTTTGCAACAGTGGTGGTCAATGGATCTTGACTGAATTGGGGGGGAAAATATCTGTGTAATAATGCCTAAGATGTTTTCAGATGCAGACAGAGGAGTATTTTTAAATGCATTAGCTATGGAAAATTCGGGAAAATAGGCCAAGTTTTTTTTTTTTTCCCTGCTGAAGGTGTTTCATAGTGAAACACGTTACTGTATCTTCTGCAGAGAAGCATTTGTTGCCACAGTAGTATTTTTCTTATATATGAATTACACAGGTTTTTGTTTAAAATCTTCTGATGTTTCTGAAGTCAATCAAAAAGCTCCTATTAGGGTTGCTGGAGGAAAGTCTCACTCTTAGCACTAAGATACAAAGGTATAGGACATTCATCTGAGCAATACATCCTCTTGGAAATACACATTCCATTGGAGTCTAACGTTCACTAATATGGAAACTTTGGTAGAATTTAACTTACACTCTTACAGATTTTCTGCTTCAAAAGAATTTTTTTGTATATATTTGAAAAACTACTGTTGCAGTAGTTAACTTTAAGCAGAGCTTAACTTTATTCATGTGAACTTCATTTTTATTTGCCCATGAATATGGCTAAATTGTAAAACATTTGAATAGACTTGGGCTCATTAGGTCTTCATTATAAAGAATTTTTTTATCAGATCTTTTGTAATTTTATTACTATAGAATTAAACACTCATAATAGAAAACATCATACATTTCAGCTTCAATAAGTAAAGGAGTAAATGTTTCAGTAAAAGAAACATAAATGCCACAGGTCAGATAGATACAGCTGAAACAACTTTTTTTACGCCGTTAGCAATGTTTGTAAGGATTATCTAAAATAAGCTGTGTATAAGGTGTGACTCTGATGCATACATATGTCTCCAAGTTTCTCTTTCTCTCCAAAGCAGAAAAGCAAGAGATGTCGAGAAGTCTCATGATGATATTGTAGCTAGGGTTCATCAGTGTTTGCTTTCCTGTAGTATGTATATCTAGTCCTGAAAGAGAAGAGCATTGTCCAGTGCTGCCCTTCTAACAACTGGCTATGAAATGCTTAGGAGTAATCACCTGCTGATGTGTTCAGTGAACTGATGAGACCTGAGGCTCTGGAGATGGTCTTGGAATTCCTCTGTGAACAGCCATTGAAGGTTGTGTCCCTCGGAGCTGCTCTTTTTTTACGGCTGGCGTGGGTGTTGTCTCCATCATTAGTGTCGAACACCATTGTCATGCTGGACTCCATTCTGGACACAGCGTATAGGCTGCTTTGACGGGTGGGATGAAACCTGGCTGCCTTGAGCTCTAGTTCATCGTAGCTGGACACCTCAATGAAGGGGCACCAGCGGAAAGCTTGCTTGAAGCCAGCTCGGAACCTGGGAGGAAAAATGCCCGGTGAAAGCCTGTGTTTCTGAGAGCCAGCCACAGGCCTTCGTCTGAAAACATATATCGTGCTGACAGGACACTGACATAGCTAATTATCTTGCCACTCATCCTGTTCGTGTTCAAGTCGGTGGGAGTTTGCTTGACTACAGTCTGAGTAGGGTAAAAAAGATTGTGGTAACAGCCCACTTCTGTTCCTGATTTTCTATATACTTTCACTGCATTTTAACATTATTATTTTCCTGAAATTCAATTTACCTTCGTTTGCCTATGCCCAAATCTTCTTTTCTCTAAAATACCATCCCAGATTCCAATAGCCCTTCTGTGTTTCCCTCTTGATAGAGACCCTTAAATGAGAATGACATAATGACTGATAATTGTTCATATAAAATATTTAGAAAATAATTTTTAATAATTAAAGAAGATTCTAGAAAGTTGAAAACCAAAGATGAACAATGTTCAAATGGGAATTTTGAGGCTTTAGTGCGTTAGTGCTTGCAATATTCATAGAGTATTATTTTATTTCAATTCAGAGGCAGAAATTTACTATAAAGACTATTGTTACTTTTCATGTGTGTACGTTTCCAGAATAGAAGTTAAATATATTAGAAAAACAATTTGCTGTATATTTTTGTGTAACCTGAAAAACCTTTTCACCTAGCCCTGGAACTTACCAGGCTTTCTAACTTTCTTGCTTATCTTGTTTCAAAAGTCAGCTCTGTTGTTTATTGTGTCTTTAATCTTTTTGGAGCAATGGTTCAGCTGCCACAGTGATGGCTACAGATAAAAATTTAGGCAAAGTTTTCAGTGAAAGTTGGCTGATCTAACAGAAATAACTTTTTTTCCTCCTTAATTTAAGTTTGCCACAGAGCTGTCACATGACGACAAACGAGCAGGTGCTATTCAGCGTTCCTCTGTTTAGATGCAGTCCACATTATGAAAACATATTGAAAGAACCTCTGATGGAAATTAATTTAGCAAAGGAAGCTGTAAAACCTAGACATCTTTAGACTGTATTATTTTTCGTTTCACCTTCTATCCTCTTTCTCATTCAGTGCATGTTTTTTCTTTATCTTGAAATAATGCTCTCTCTATCCAGATATGTAAGTAATATCCTAATTAGCCTGGAAGATGAGGTTAGCAATAGGTAATGTAACTGCGTCTGATACTAGATCCAGCAGAGGTAACAATACTGCATGAATTGATCAGACTCCCAGCAACACGCTGTATTTTCCTACTGCATGAAAAGGAAGTGGATGTTCCAGCTTTTCGATTTCAATATGGAACTTAATTATAAGAAAACTTTTACTGGTATTTCATTCTTGCATTAAATTCTGAGCAAGGTGTCCTTTAGTGTTTCTCAAAATTATGAAATTTTTGTGGATTTGTGTTTTTTAATCCAGACATTTAATTTTGCAGTGTATGAGTGTCAACATAAGCTACATCAGTGTTACTAATTTTTTATGAATAACATCTTTTGTAACTCTTCTGTTAGAAGTTTTTGAAGAAAATGGCAATGTTTTAGAGGTTTTATGGTAGTAATTGAGAAAATATGAGGCCTGGTTATTCCTCACCTTTGATTTTGCAGACACTGGACACCTAGTGAAATCTGGTTTCTGTTGAAATTAATGGGAAATTTGCCATTTGAGTTAGGATTTTTTTCTGGCATACTAAAACTTTACCTCTTCTTTAAACAGTTGTAAATGATCAAAAGGGGCAGAAGGCTGTATGAAATCTGGTGTTGCCTTGACATTTTAAAAGACTATGAATGTTAAGCATCTTAAGCTATTCTCATCAAGGAGGCAGACTCAGTGTTCTTACACCAATAAAAACTCAGCAGGATTTGGTCACTTCATTTTCAATTAGGCTTCTTTTGACAGGTATTGAATGATCTTTAGTGAGGTTTTACAAATATTTAACAAAAATGATATAAAGCTTGTCAGTAATTAAACTTTACACTGGCTGCTCATTCAAAAGCGATTTAAAATATTATTTAGGATAACTTATAGAATACTAATTCATACTGACTGAGTTTGTGAACTAATTCGTTGGGGTTTGCTAGTCTTTAGACAGTAATACTAGAAGAAATACTGAAAAATAGGATGGCTAGAGTGATATTTGTTTAGATCCTGGTCCAAAAAGCTGAAATGAAATACATGAGTTCATTATGCAATCCAGTAGTCTCAAACTGCAAAATATCCGTAAAATCTCACCAAACTCAACAAGTCCAGTGCCTTTGAAATTCAGAGCATAATGCATTGTTATCAAACAGTACTGTAATTTAGTATTGAGTAATGAGAATATAAATATTTGTTTTATTAGCCTGTTACAGACCCCAGAGCTCAGTAGAAATCTAATGGTGAGGTATAAAATACACAGTAAATTGTGTTTTATATTATATCCTTCAAGCACTGCAAAAAAAAATTTGTGGCTACAATTGGTGAACATACAAGTTGCACCACATATCATGAATGACTGTCTTTATTTCTTTATTTTAATGTTTTGCAAGCCAAAAACCATTAAACTTCTACAGATTTTTGAATTTTGAATATGGAAACAAGAAGGTTTGGTTTCTGAATACTGAATTTTGCTCTGAAATTTTAAGTAGACCAAAGTATATACTGGAAATGCACATTTATTTTTTTGGGATTCATTTCAAGTACAAACCTAAAGGAAGCTTTTTGTTTTGTTTACCACTAACTGAAAAGTATTGACGTGAAAATTCTTTGTCTTTTATCCCATTTAAACCATTTATATTCTCATTGAAGTTATGCATACCAACTGTTTCATAACCAGCTCTTACCTCTTATTAAGACAGCAGTAGATAATGGGATTGTACATTGTAGAGCTCATGGCAAGCCAAAAGCTGGCCAAATAGATTTGCTGAATGTATTTCCACCGATTTAATTGTTGATAGATCCCAGTAACTATGAAGTAAACGTGGTAGGGCAGCCAGCAGATCGCGAATGTCAGCACAACCACAATCATCATTTTTACCACCTGAAAAAAGGAAGTAATAATGCTATTCTATAGTAAATATTAGCCTTTTTTATTTGGACTAACATTTCAACATCCATTAATAATTTTCTTGCATTTGATTATTGAAGTTATTCAAAGCAAAGATGAATAAGCTTTTATATAATTTTCCTTTTAATCTGACTTTCCTAAATTTCTATTGTCTTTTTTTTTTTTTTTTTTTTCTCAGCTGGAGATCCTTGTTTTCCTAAGGAAAACAACATGAAAATCTTCTCTAATTTTATTTGTATTGATTCTTCCAAATAATATATTTGGCTATCTAAAATATTACTTTTTTTCTGTACATCTAATCATGGAATAAAGCTATAGGGTGTTTTATTTGGAGACCTCGTTTTGGCCTTTATTGACCCTGGTGTCTTTTTCTGTTGCGGTCTGCAAGTACATTCCTTGTCCTCAGTTATTAAACGTCATTTGAGTAAACACTAGGTTGTAGGAAATGAGTAACTGCAGTATATTGTTTAATTTCAGTGGCTAACAATATGCTTGGCTGGTGATCATTATTGTTGTTTTCTACAGGTATCACATCTGTTAGCTACCATAGTTTCCACTGAACACAACTGAAGAGAAGCTTTGTTTCGTGCTTGAAACACAAGAAGAAAAGTTGTGAGTCATGTGAAATTTTCACTCCTGTCTTTCCCTCTTCAGCTATGACAAATAGTAGCCCAGCTACCATTTCCAACACAATATGTCACACGTTTACACAACAGTTTTTGGTTTTTGTAGGTAAAATAAAAACAGACATGATGTTGTGTGCTGGGACATCTCTTGTTCATTTGTACTGTGAATACTGAGGAATAATAGGGATTGCTATCAACAGTTCCTTTCATTTCTCTGTACAAGGTACCGTTTCCTGCTGTTTGTAGTTTTGTAAAGAAGAAGAAAAAAAGGGTGTGTGTGTGAAATTTCCCATACCTATATTTCTTAGGTGGATGTTTTTATAAAATTTCAGCTAATATAATTAAACCAATTTACATATGAATGTTATGGTGCCGTCCTTAACTCATATTACATCTTCCTGTGGGAAACATAAAGTAATTTTCATTTAACATCTGGCACCAGTTTACAAGCTTTCCTGCTGGCTGGGACTGTACTGTACAGTCCCAGCTTATGAGAATACTTACTATTACTGATACATACACCGATCATCACTTAAAGATACACAAGTTGCATCTGTCCACACATACAACAACATTATTGATATTTGGTTCTTCTAAAGCACTTTTCATCAGTTAATGATAAATCAAGGCAGAAAGAAGATTGGTATTATTGTAAAGGAAGGCAGTGCACCAAAACCTAGTATCACTTTCATCTTTGGTAAGTGTACATCTGCATGTCTGTATCTAGATATGTATAGATGTATATGGGACTGTATGCGAGACTTTTTTTTTGAGAGAGGGAAGAGGTTGTGACTGTATGTGAACAGATATTTCTGGACTAAATTATGTGTCTGAAATGATGCCATAAAAATATGTTGTCAAATCATAGTCTATCATTAAATGGCATATCTTTTCTACTCCTTTGGACATAACTTCTGCTATTCTTCTCCTGGGGATTTACACCTGTGCCTTGCATACATTGTACAGATAGAAACTCCATAGTTCTACCACAACACTAAGCTCTCTGTCCATTGATTACAGGTGCACTCACTTTTCTTATTGTTGTGTTTTTACACCTGTGAGGAGTGATAAGCTTTACTTCAACACTGTTCAGGATTTCTGCAAATTCAAAACACTTGAGAAGCTGATTACTTGCCTTCATATTTAATTAGCAAGTCTTGCAGTACTAGCTGTGCATGTGAAATTCTTCCTAGAATTATTTATTATTGGTTTGTCATAGGTGCTAAATGGAAGGAGTTTTGTCTCCAAGTTTTCAAAGTTTAATGAGGTAAATCAGTATTTATACTGAACATTTAATCTGTGCACTACTTGAGAACTAAAACAATAGAGCTTTCCAGCAATAAATGTAGTTTAATCTGGTTGAACACTGTGTCGCTCTTGCCCCAGAGCTGCTAGAAATCGCAGTAAGAGTGCCGGTTGCCAGTTTGGCCTACTGAATTGTATTAACAACATTTTCAAAAGAAAGTTGTCTTTTTTTCTAATATCCAAATTCTTATTGGCCAGTTTTCTGTGTTATAATGAAGTGCAAGGCAAGCAGTGCTTTGAGAGTCTACTTAAAGATCTCCTAAAGCTAATAAACCTTCACAGGCTGTACAAATGACAGCTTTTTGGTCTCAACTGCTGCACTCAAAAATTAACACAAAATGAATTAAGTTTTAGTTTAACCCAAAAACCAGTATTTCAGGTTTTCTTCAGGGAAACGGAAATCCCAAAATAACTATTTATACTATGACCCAAATAAAATCCTCAACTAAAATTTTTTTCTCACAATTTCAGGCAATTTGATTCCATATTTTAAATGTTTTAACTTTTTTTTTTTTAAAGCTTTTGAAATGAAAAATGTCTAATCACTCCCAGAAAATCACATCTTTCCCTGCAAGGTTTCTGTTTTGTTTAAAACAAAAGACTCATTTTTAAAAACAGTGAAATCAGCATAAAATTTTCTTATTGCTGTTTCTGTCTGGAAATCCATGATTAAATATTAAGTCATCATCATCCTGAAAGCAGAAATTTCTGAAGCAAATGGTTAAACTAGACAACAACCAAAAGATGATTTTAGATGGAAATTAATGTTTGATTTAATTTGGGAAGTAACAAGTCACAGAAGTGACAGTGAGGCACACTATGTTCTTAATCATTCAGGTTTGCAGCTGTTTTTCATAAATTACAAAAATTATCTAAAGATTTAAAGTATTGTTTTTTTCTCAGAAAAGGCTGTATCAGTCTGAGTTTTGCTGAAGTGAATGGTAATATACCGAGGTATGTATATTCAGGGGGAAACATACAACAGGGTTTCCTTATTAATGTGTAACGTATTTGTCCTGAAATAAAAAGTGTCAATTTTTCCATCAAAAGGGACATTTAAGAAAAGTCAAGATTAAGTTGTCATTCTTTTGAGTATTCATGTAGTACAATACACTCATTGACATATTACCTAAGAAGAAGATACGTGAGATGTTGCAAGTCTCTGTGGTATGAAATCATTTCAAACACAGGGTGGTTACAGTTGAATTTTAAGTCAACCACAGAAGTTGAGAGGAATTGAAAAGCACTATTCTGTCCTTGTTTCCAGCTAAGAATGAGTGTGTGTTGGCAGAAATGGAGGAAAAGTATAAAAGGAAGCTGAAAAGGAGAGAGATTATTCCCAATTTCCTTTCCTCCTTCAGAGACAGGCACACACACTGTGTACGGCCATACTTTCAGTTTATGGCTGCAGTTCTTTTCCATCACCTTAGTCTTTCCAGTGTTAAGTTTCATTGCTTAATGATCTCAATAACTATGAGCAGAAGCTGCCTTCAAGGTCTATAAACCCGGGGCACCTTGATTTTGTTTGGTTAAAATCGTGATGAATGACTGACAGTAAACTGTTAAGCTCAATTAGGGCACAGGGAAAATACGTGAAACAGGCCAAGTATGAATTTGATGCAAAAGCCTGATTGTCTTTTCCTGATACGCTATGATGTGTTACTAAAAAATCTCCAACTTTGTAGGTTCGACTGCAGAGTATAAAAGAGACCCTCAATGTTTTGGGGTTTTTTCTGGGAGTACTTAGACCTGTGATCTGACAATACAAAGTTATTTTATTTTGTTTCTTTTTAATATGCCTGTTCTGCTGTATTTTTTTTTTTTTTGAGATATTACCAAGTTTCAATTGCTTTCTCCTCTGTTTTGTCTTGCATAGAATTTGTTAATAAGGGTTTGCTTTTGTGTGTTAGGAAACATTTCTAAAGCGAGCAATCAGAAAACTACTGAATTCAGTTGTGCTTAATGTCTACCTCTGTTCATGCCACCATTTCACCATGGAGTTTTCCAAAACATTTGATTGCAGTGAACATCACCAACCTGTGTCCCAGTGGTGCTGTTTTCCCCTGGTGTTCTGTTCAATTTCCCTTTGTGTATTGTGGGCAGCATGGCCAGAGGAAAAGTTGTTTTTTTTTTTTTCTGTTCCAGGACTTTTGTTGAAATGAGTTGTACTGAGTCTCTCAGTTGTGCAACCTTTAGGCAAGTCTTGAGGCTAAATTTGGAATTTCATCAACATGTTCTGCTGATATCTTTGTACTTCTGACTATGTCTATAAAAGAAAGTTAATTTATATGCTTTGCAGTCTTGCCTATTCCTTTAAATCCTTACTCTCTGAGTAAGAAGCATTCTTTCATTAATGAATGATGTGTAATGAGAAAAAAAAATGTATTTAAGAGAATAAAACAGACATAAGTTCGTTGGAATTGGAGTTTGCAGGTTTGCCTTTGTTGTGAAACATTTGAAGCAGTAAAAGTGAAAAGGAACTAACAAATTCTGCTATACTTGCAAAGAGCAGCAAATATTTTTTTTTCTTGTTTTTATTTTGCATGAAAAACATCTAGAAAAATGACTGATTTGGATGTAGCATTGAGAACAGCTCTTGAAAGATTAGTGATAAAATATACTTTTCTGAGAGACTCAGTTGCTGCTGTGGGACTATAGCAATTCACATGGCAAGGCACTGATTTGCCATCAATACCTGACAGGCCACAGAATTGAAAAGTTTCCTTTTCAATCTGCTCTGCAGCTCTTTATTGCCTTTCTAAGTCATCTTTGATATGCTGCTTCTACAAGGTCAGGAATTTGGCTTCTAATTTCCTTTCTACCAATATCACACCCTTTAACTGCATTAGTTTCAGAACTTTTACTCCTAGGTGTTATGCAGGTGTAAATCAGAAGAAAAGCAAATACACATACAGTGTAAGAATGTTTACCCGCTCATGGGTATTATTTGTCCAACTTAAACACAGCTCACAGATAAACTCTGGGAGTTATATGCTTCTCTTTCTGCTCTGTGCTCTTTTTGGAAGAAGTAAAAATACCAGA